CCTGGTAGCAGCGGCACCCCTGGTAGCAGCAGCACCTCCAAGAAAACCGCGTATTAATTGCTTGGCTACAGCTGCCTTTATTTTATTTTTATTTCTTTCTCCGCTTCTCTCCCCTTGTGGTGTTGACCTGGATGCAGTTGCCAAAGGGAGAGGGAAAGCTGTAAAAATCCTGTGGTTTCTCTTGCAGCTCCTGTCCGGCACAGCAGCCATGGGAAGCGGATGTTTATTATCAAGGCAACGAGTTTCTATGATTCCCGGTTTCTGAAGATGCTGGTGAGTTTAAAAGATGCCTTAGGTTTAGTGTAATAAATCACCAGCAAATTATGTAGGAATGGATAAAATATATTTATGAAAATGTGGGTGGTGCTTGTCATATAGACAAGAATTTTCAGTTCTCTTCCTAAATGATTTGCTGTTTTTTTGCTTTATTTTGCGTATGTTGTGAAATCAAGGCAGGTGAAGTTAAAAATACATGATTGGCTAAATGGTGAAGACTGGCATGAGCATTCGTGTCTGTGTAACCTGCAGATGTTTTCCGTTTCTTTTCTCCTTTACGCACCTTCCCGGTTTACCAAAGCCATCAGTGATTATATTCACGGTGCATTATATGACGTTACAGCAGAACGCTGAAACCACCTATCAAAAGATGCTGGGGCAGCACTTGGGCAAGGCACTGCTCCCATATGCTGTACTAAAGGGGCCCATGGACTGCTCCAGCGTTGCTGTTTCTGTGTTTGAGTTTGTTAATTAATTAATTTTAATCAGCAGTATTGCCCTATATGCTGCATTGCTATTCCACCTGCAAGTACAAGTCGTAATGGCTGTTACATAATTTTCAGACTAATTTCATCCTAATTTTGTCAGGCTACTGATTTTTTTTTCCCCATGCAGAGATTCTATATATGTTTGACTGGGATACCAGCGGCAATATTTATAACGTATGTGAACATCTTCATTGGTGAGTGCTCTGTTCTGCTTAACGTAAGTACACAGTGAAAATTATTAAATGGCTAAAGGGCAGCTTTGCTGGGTAGAAAATCCAGCTTTTCTATGGTTTGCCCTTTAGAAGACCATGAAAGAGACCAAACAATTGTGATAATAAGTAGAGAATTTTCCCAGTTTTTGTTGTTTTTGCTTGGTTGTTGCTTTTTGTAAAAGCTTTCTACTTTTTTTTTTGTTTGTTTTTTTAACTGGCACATTTAAATGAGCGTTTGGGTTTTTTGAACGTTAATAATTAGTGAACAGCTCTGTTGTATTCCAGTGAGGAGTTGTCTCTACCTGGTTTTGCATATTTCTATAAGGATTCTGCATACCCTGTAATTATTTGTTCTTAGCTACAAAAAAAAAAAGACTGGTAATCTTTATTTTAAATATATTACTGTAATAATTATTATTGAATTGATTTAGTTGAGAGACTATTAAAAATATATATACTTTCAGCTCATATATTTTTAAATGGGCATTTATGTGGACTTAATTTTAGTTATTTCTTCTGTATAGTTGCTAATTTCAGCCTTTGGTTGTGTGACTACTTGTCAGGTGAAGCTGAGCTTGCAGAGATTCCTGAAGGCTATATTCCAGAGTACTGGGAATACTACAAAGTGAGTGTAACTTGCAGCAGAGAGAACTTTTCTCTCAACATTAGTTTGGGGAGGAAAGTGTGTGGAGTGAGATAATGGGATGGCCATGTCCTCTTGTGCCAGTTTAAGGAACCTGACTTCAGTAACATCAAAATACATTATGTCTCCTCCATTAACTTGTTTTTAATTTTGCTACAGAATATTCTCCTATAGATTAGCTGCTCTAGGTGACCCTGCATGTGCAGGGGGTTGGACTAGATGACCTCTGCAGGTCCCTTCCAACCGTAAGCATTCTATGATTATCTTGGCATCAAAATAAGCAAGTTAAATATAAATTTTTAGGACTATGGTCTTATAAAAGAGTTGAGTATGTATTTAGCTTTACTATAATCATCTGAATAGCAGTACTTGGAGTTGGTCATGTGTTTGGGATTGAAAACATGCAATATGATTTATGCATAATGACATTTTACTTGGGAATTATGTAAATAATCTATGCTTTTATATTTTCTAGCATCCTATAAGTCGTTGGATAGCTCGTTACCTCCTTGACCCCCCTGAAAAAGATTATGAGAAAAGCCTGGCTCTGCTTGATGTTGAAGCAAAGAAAGCTGAGATGAGGTATGGCATATGGTTAAGAACATTTTAAAAGGATATATTTGAGTTTCTTGAAATGTTACTATTGGAACCAAGATCAAGTAGGTCCAGCTACCATCATGATCAGTTCCTGTTTTCCTGTCCCCTATTTCGTTTTGGCTGAAAGCTGTGTCAGAAACTGGAACCCCTTTACTAAGCAAGAAACTGGCAGAAGTTCTGCAGATCCTTTTATTACTGTTTTGAGTTGGTTTCTTTGCGAGGGGAACAGATGTAGTATTTCATGTTCTAGTTGAACTCTTCATGTTTTGTTATTGTGTATGTTTCAGTAGTACTTATAAGTGCAGATGCTGAATTTATTGCTGTTGTCAGCAATGCACTGCTACTGCTAAACATCATTGTCCAGAGAGAAGAAAAAAAAAAAAAGGCAAAACCCCTATGTGTTCACTGACTTTTTCTTTTTTCTAAAGGCTGATGGCTTTGGAGGCTCGCAGACTGATGAGAGCAAGGGGAGATGGACCTTGGTATCATTACGAAACGCCTGATAAAAATCTTACTGACAATTCTATGAAAGCCACACCTGACAACTAAGAAGTCCCAAGAGAGTATGCAGAGTTTTAAGTGCATACCAGTAAATTGTGACTGAATTATGCAATATGCAAAAACCTGTTCACTGAATTAAATAAAAATAAAACTTTTTTGTTGATTCCAGTCATTTGAAAGAAGTTGTGGGAGCTAAGCTGGTATAGCTGTTAAGCTTATTCATTGGAGAAAAGGCGTTAGGTCATTTGGTAGCAGTTTTCCCCAATGTATCAACATAGATGGGTGGCCTAATCTGTGTGAAGCAGCTTGATAAGGTTAGTATCCATCATGTGACTTCTTGTACCCAAGCTTTCAAACTTTTAAATAAAAGGTACAAGCAACTGTAAGGCTTTAAGTTGCCTTGTGACAAAGGCAAAATGAACTAGGCAAAAAGTTGCTAGATCTTTGGAATTTTGTCAGGGTGGACAAACACTATCTTTTTCATTGCCTGGACTCAAACCAGACTTTCACTCTGTTCCACAGTTGCAGCTTGTTCAAAGCCTTGAACAATTGCTTTCCTTGTATTATCTCAAAGGTGTCTTGTCTTTAACCTGTTGTGAAGACCTTTGCTCTTGACAGGGCCAGCCATGCTGCATCTTCCTTCATAAGTTATTTTGTCACCACTCAGAAAAGCCTTTTACAGACTGCAGAGAAGGAAGGGAGACTGGAGAAAATGGAAGAACGGACAGCTGTAAGTTATGCATGATCTTGGAAATAAGAGGAAAAAGTTTAAGAGTCTCTTAAATAGGAGAAAGAGGAAAAGATAACTGGTTGCTGAACTGGGTATTCTCCCTTTGCATCAGCCAGAAAAGTGTTCTTTCTAAAACATCTTGCCATATTGCTTCTTTTGATACTTTTTAAAGTGAAGTTTAAATACTTAACCTGTACTTTTCCTGTAATACTTTCTTTTCTAATAGATATAAAGTGGAGCCATGTATGTCCTTCATGGCAGAAAGTGTCTTCATTGATGCAGGCTTAAACAAAGTCAGTGCTCTGTAATGTGTGATATATAAAGAGAAATTGTACTGAGAAGTACTCTGTTACCTCATTTTGATTTTAAAAATGAGTATCAGGTGACTTGGAGAAATGCATACCTAGTAGTTCTCTAGTCTTTAATTTTTAATGAGCTTTTGATTTTATTATGTCAGCTATTATCTCTTTTTGAGAAGGCTTAGTTAAGACAGCACTTACCTCTACCTATAGTGGTTACTATTTATACTATCACTGTAGGACTAAAAAGAAAATGAAAAATCTTTAAACCTTTACAAATATGCGGTGGATATAAATTGGGTTAAGGATTTTTTGAAATTCTTTTGTATACTCTTGAAAATATCCTACAGTTCTTAGTTCTAAAATCAATAGTCTGCCATGTAGAACTTGCTTCATTATTAGGAAGAATCAAAGTGAACAAATATGAAATTGAGTATTTTCCTAGTAACTGCTGTGTATCTAATTTTTTTAGCAATTTTGTGAAATTACTGATACTATTAAATGGATAGTTTTCTTCCTGTAACAGGCTTAGTAAGATGAAGTTGGGAAAAATAGGAAACTGCCTGATAGAGGCTATTACAAAAGGATTGTTCAAGGCATGAAAAACCAGGATCAGGATGGAAAGAACTGCCTTTTTTAATGGATAAGATCACTATTAAGTAAACAGATATTCTGCTGTGTCATTACTCAGTTTTTAGTGGATACAACTATGAGGCTTAAATAATATCAAGATGAAAATTTCAAAATTCTATCCTCCAAATAGATGTAGCATAAAGAGAGAGACCATGTAAGAGATTTCCAAGATGAAAAATGCAATCCTACTTCTGTTAGTACTTAGGGCCATAAAGGCCTCTTTTGCTAAGGTGATTTGGAATAAAAAGAAAAAAAAAAGTTTATTGAAAAGTTGAGTAGAACTGTTGCTAATGAGGAACAAATTAAATACATAAGGGGAACAAGGCAGAGAGAGATTCAGGATGCTGCATAAACAGAATGCTGAATCTTCAATAAGGTAAGTAGATAATAAGACTATAGATACAAACAACTTTTTTACTTGTTTGCATATTGTGCAATTTCAAAGCTGTTCAGCTATTTTTCTATGCTATTTTTGAGGGAGAAAAAAGAAACTATCTGACAGACTCTTGCCACTAGAGGGATATGTTTCGGCAGTTTTTTATTGGCTGTGGTATTCCTCTAGTTTGAAATCACAGAGTGAAGGACTGGGCTTCTTGGTTTGTGGCCACGAGTGACCTGTCTATATTGAAATTTCCCTCTTTTCTGAAGAAAATAAACCCAATTTCTTTAGCAAATCTTTGTCTTCTTAGGGTTTCAGAGTGTGGAAAACTAATGAACTTCCTTATATTGAACAATAGTACTTAGAAAATCTGAAGTAAACACAGCCTCATTTGCTGTTTCCTGTCAGTGCCAAACATGAGGAAGACTATAACACAAGAATTTCTTATTTTATGGTTCTTTGATGTAAATTCTCGTCTTGTGCAAGTCTGAAGTCATTTCACTGAGCTTGTATTTTGCTCTCCATGTTTCAGAATTTCCAAAGCTTTGAATTTTGTTTGAAAAACCCTGCTGAGCACAGACTAAGCTGGTTACACCTGCAGCCTGTTTCTTTATTGCTGGCTACAAGTCATAATTTTTCATCTCTATTATTAATTCAGAGCCCCTTTTACACCTTTCAGTTTTTGAGGTAAAGAACAGTTCTAGCAGAGGTCACACATGTACAGATTGCTGCTAAAGTGATATGAACTTAGTTTTTTTAGTTGTTATTTTTTTCAAATTACCTACTTGGGAGTAGCCCATGACCCTTTGCATCTACCGTCTGCTGCAGCTGGAAGGCCACTTAGATATATGGCTTGATTTTGAACGGACCCATCATTTCATTAATCCTGACGATGATCCTGAGAGGATGCTCCTTGAGAAGCCTAAATAAATAAATAAATAAATAATAGCTATTTCGACCGTTCGGACACAGCTGTGGTTCCTCCTCTCCGCCCCTCTCCCCGTTGCTAGCGCGGAGCCTGGGTCAGACCTCACGGCTCTGCCCTGGGCGCCGGGCGCCATCTCGCGCCGAGGCGTTTCCCGCTCCCGCCGCAGCGG